GTACGAACAAGTTCTTTTAATTAATCATTTATTTGTGCGATTTCGTAAGCGCGTAAAAGCTCATTGTAAACGAGCAAAGCTCTAGCAAAAGCTAGTCATTCAATAAATTGACACGTGTATTACCAGGTACCTAATCTAATTGATGGAATAATTAATTCGGAGCGGCTAATTATTTAGTCAACAGATAACACCGACTATTATCGGAACATTATTAATCTATGTAGGTTTATGTAGCTATGGTTTAGATTTCAGACATGTTGCTATTGTTGTTGTTTAACCAAGGGTCTTATTCTGGAAGCATGCGAATTCGAAATCGCATACTAAATTTTTAAACTACTATTTTTGTAAAGTCTAATCAGTTGAAAGTTGCAATTTATTTGTTCAACTTCTATTAGAAAGATCAGTCGTAACGCGTGGTCTAGGTTGTGTTTTTCTTAATTCTGCTAACAATGGTTCTATGTGACTGATGAAGTCATACGTAGATGGGGACTACTTTAGCCCTAGAGGGAGTTTTGCAATCACTTGGTTGCCCTGTCGAATTAAAGCTTTGCTTAGTTTGGGACTAGAAGCGCAGTGTAAAATGTCTAAAGAAAATTATTTATTATTATTTATTTATTTATTATTATAATTAGTCGTCTATCGATATTGCTTTTAACAGGTGGAAAATTAAATCCATTCTTTTTTGAGTTAAAGTTGCCTCTTAGAGCTAAAATCGGTAACTTAAAACATATGCACGTTTAGCAATTTTCTCATTTTACAGGCTTTTCGCATTTTACATTTTCGTATACCTAACGTTGCTTTGTACAGGCCTATGTTTCAATTACATAATGATCAGTGACTATGAACAATTATAGATATTAGATAACTGCCCCTGGCTAATAGATTGAGAATGTAATAGTAATAGTGCACAGTCTAATTAGATTATTGTGTGGGTGTAATTAGTACGGGCTAATGGAAGCGTTTTGTTATAGCTATTTACATTATTGTAGTTATAAGTACAAACGATACAGTATGTAAAGAAAGCTGATTAAGCAGAACTCTGTTAAATCTTATATACTTAGGCCCAGTTTTTTGATTCATAGTTAAAATAACTAATTGTTAAATTTTAATACTTATGGTTATATATTAAGAAACTGTTAACTTATGGTTAAAAAATGTACCAAAAGTCAAACTAACCATTGTTCGAAAATAATTTTTTTCTGATATTTAACCGCTTCTCACTTGACATCTGTCAAATTTGACTATTGATTTTTTTAACTACTTACGAATCAAAAAACTGGGCCTTAGGCTGAGTTGCACCACCTAACTTTAACGGTAACTATGACGATAACCGGTGCTTTTTGTATGGAGTTTGACAGCTTTTTGACGTTTGTTAAAGTCAAAGTAAGATGGTGCAACCCACCCTTAGAATAAGTGTGATTCATGCAACAAAAGTAATAGTTTCATTTGCTGTAGACTCTACATAGTAAAGCTTGCTAATCCATGTTATGAATAAAATAAATAATTTTTCTTCCTTCCTCTTGTTGCATTTGTTGTTCGTTAAGGAAATATTGTATTTTGTGCTGCAATGGATTAGTTTAACAGGAAGACGGAAGATTAATCGTATAGTTCTTGTAGTCCGATTCATGAAAGACAGTTCCCAAGATTCGTACTTTCAATGAAATGACGCCATACAGTTGATTCAAACTCAAACATAATAATATATTCTAAATTCAGATCACCTGGTTAAACTATTTTAGCAGGTAGACCGAATTACCTTAGGTTAGTTAGACTGTCTCATGTAAAGAAAACGCATTTAAGTAACTCTATAAGTTTTTTTTCAGATAACAGACAGTCATTTCAAAACAAACGCGTGTTTAAGATTGAGCAGTGGGCCATAACATTGTATTAGGGTTAGGGCCTATTAACGCCACCGTGAAACCCGCAAGTGGAAAATTTTACGCGTACAGTTTCAACGTAACAATTGCACTTTTACGACGGTTTCAAATTTTAAACTGTTTCGGGTGTATAAAGCTTTTTGAGTGGTTTATGGGGGAATTTATTGGGCCTGTCGCTACCTGTTTTTTATGAGGTTTCAACGCGGAACTGAGACATTTTTATTGATTTTCGGTTTTAGTAGATCCGGTTCAAAGTACATACATACTTGTATTATCAAGGCACTGCAAAATATAGTCGTAGCATGTAGTAGGAGACACGTTTTGAAAATCAACGTTTATCACAAGTCATGTTCGTAAAAAAATAATTTAAAGTAGGTAATGTTTATTCAACCAGTATCAGTAGGGAGGTGCATGTGTATAACCTTGGGGAAGGCCTCTATCGAGCAGTGGACGTCTTTCGGCTGAAACGAACGAATGAACGAACGATCTGTTCAGTATGCACCTAGTATCAATCATATTTTATCATAATATTACGTACAAACTACGAGTTTTATAGTTCATTCAATATTCAGTTCACGTAAAATAAAAAACTCCTGAAAATTCGTTTTAATCCGAGTTAGTGTACGGTAGGTACAGTCGACAGCACATCAGGCAATACATTTTTATTGCAAAGTCGCTTTTATTACCACTACATTAGATGCTATAGTGTTAAGCTTGATCTGCTGTCCGTACCGGCCAGGTGATCAGTCTGCGTCTCACACCTCATTGTTATATCGGGGTAATAAAGTGCAAATCGTGGTCGAGGCTTTGCAAACTTTATGAAATATTTTGCTGCTCCTTCGTACCTATATTAAGGAGCTCGGCCAAGATGTGAAATAGAGGAGTTGGGATAAAACCACCGAGTTATTTCTTTTATCTTGCAAAGTACGAAGTTGTTAAGAAAAAATGTCATTGTCAAATGACGGTTATAGCAGAATAATAATAAGTACTACGTACAGAAGTTTTACTTCGCGAAGGTATTTAAAAAAATGTATGCTCATGTATGCCAATGTCATTAACAATATGGTGTAATTTAGCCTGTCTCAAGAGTCAAGCACCATTTTGTTGACAAACGTCAGTGATCGGCACTGCGCCGAAGCTCTAGGGCTGACTTCGGCAAAATGATGTGACGTGAGGTGCCAAACTGCGGAAAATGGCGGAGGAAATACATGATTTATCATGAATTATCATATATAATATTAACTACTTATTTACCTCTCAGTGTCTTGAGGCAACTTAAAAAAGTACATTCTGTGTTTTTATTATTATTTAGGCAGTTAAATACTGCACAGTATTTAGTACACCATTTTCTTTATTTTCTTCCATCATACACAAGAATACGCGTGCGTGAGTCAATGCTCGCTCGTATGTGAGGCCTTGTGTGTCCTGTAGGTGGGCCATCGTGCGTGTTTTGTTTTCGATGTAAACTCGCGGAGATGAACAGGCCTGGTTATAGGCACAATCTATCTGGATGCCGATTCTTGCTTGATTGCTTCATTTGATACCATGACTGTCTTATAGGTGAGCTAATTTTAATGCTTTGATTTTTTTAGTCTAGGAGAGCAGGGAGGTGTTTATTATTTCATACTTATTAGTTACTGAACTTAGAGAATATCGCACTCTCTTTTATGCAAGCTCTAAAATAATGAGTGTTTGTGTGCCGTATGTGAGGATTGTAGTAGGTACACGAAATTTTAGATATCAGATAACAAATTGACCCTTTGTATGAGCCCTTGACTGGTTCATACATTAAATTGATGTATCTTGGGTGATCTTGATAATAACAACACTCGAAGACTTGAAATACTTGATTTACTGTTTCGACTTGATACAATGATGTAATGTGTGTGCACACTAACAAAGGCAGCAGTGAACTAATCGTAGATTTAACAAAATAAATAATGTCAACTAGCAAAGCGTAAATAACATTTGGTTTTATGCTTGCTTGCAATAAACTGTACTTTGTACATATTCCCGGGCGGGAGATGCTGGGGATTTTATTGATAGAAAATAGAAAAATTAAAGAAGATAAAATTAAAACTTAAATATTTTACATGTCATGCTTAAGTCTAATCTTATAAATTGATAAATTTCATTTAACACTTCCCGACACTGTATTATGTAGCCGCTGGGTGTAAGCCCTTCTTGGTGGGGGAGACGTGTTCTTGTCTACGTGCAGAGGTTCTTCTACGTTCGGAGTGCTTCGGTAGGCGGGAGCAGGCCGGGGACGTGACTCGCTGACGGGAGACAGCTCTATGGCTGCGGTCGTGGCGGCTGGCTCTGGGCTTGTTACATTCACTCTTCGTCTGCATGGCGACCGACGTACGATCCATACGACTCCTACTATCGCTACGCCAGCTATTACTATGTATATCATGACGTAGTGGTGGATGTCATGGAACGAGACTGCTTCTGAAGAAATTGCTAGTTCATCCTCTTTTGTTTTGATTGCTTTGATCTTGTCATCGATTTTAATTGCTTCTTGTTGGATGGATGAACGAGTACTTGGTTCAATTTCTTTCATGTCGTGAGGTATTGATAAGTTGATGATGTTGTTGATAGGCGCCAATGTCGGAGAGTATACGTCTGGTGATAATCTTATCTCGCTTGTATGAGATCTATGTGGATAAATGGTGAACTTTTCCGTCTTGATAATGCAGCCATGACCTATGGTGATAAGGCCACTGCCGCTCAGCTGATGTGTTGCAATTTGATCGTCGCACATGATTCGTACTTGACATTGTAAACAACAAAAATAAACGTAAGTGTTTATAGAATATGACTCTTTCCAGACGTCTTGGCATGACCTTGTTTCTATCATGCATTCTGAGTTCTCTTGTTGACATAGATTTTTGTCGGCTTTCATCAGATATTCTGGGCCTTGGTTACGACAAAAATATGCATCATCTTGATGAAAACATTTTGATAAGTCGCTGTCAGATATAGTTATGAATAAATCTTTCTTGATGTTGACTGCTACATAATCTGCTACTGGAACTAGGCTGATCATCTTCTCATCTTGATATTTAGGCAATGGAATGATGCGTAGGATCTCGAAGGTGTCTCTGCTTATGAGTGGTATCCTTATTTCGAAGATAAAGTATTCATCGAGGACTCTTGTTCGTACACTATTTCATCTTGATATGTCTCAGCTTGTGTTTGCTTGATGATGGCAATTTTTGCATTTTTTAATTCTTCCAACGTCAGGTACGACTCTCTCTTCCTTTTTCCTCCTGATATAAAACGACGTACCCAGCCCAAAATTCGTATCACTCTTGATAGTGAGCTGTACTTTTGTAATAAGTCTTTTATAATGCTTTCTTGTTCTGTGCTCTGAGTAGTTAAGTTGACTTGTGTGTTGTTTCTTGATTCTTCGTTTGTAAAATAGGTTTCTTGTTCAGTCTTTTCGTCCTTGAATGACGATAGCCAAGCCGGTCCTTGCCACCATAGGCTATGTTGTAGTAGTTGCGATGGTGTTATGCCTCGGCTGGCGCAGTCAGCGGGGTTGTCGGCTGACTTTACATACCGCCAATGCTCGGCTGGTAAGACCGTTGTGATTTTCCTTACTCTGTTGGAAACGAACGTTTTCCAGCGGTCTGGATTTCCTTGTATCCATCCGAGCACTGCTGTAGAGTCAGTCCATGCGTATAGACTGACTTTATAGTTGGTTAAGCATTGTTCAACTTTCTGCATTAATTGGGATAGCAGATGTGCCCCAATTAGTTCTTTCCTGGGCAGTGAGATGTCTTTGTTTCGTGGTACTATTTTTGATTTCGCGACAACTAGAATGATTTTTGTTTCTGTGTCACTTGATAACTTGCAATAAATGACGCAAGCGTAGGCATTTTGCGATGCGTCGCAAAATCCGTGCAATTCAATATCTGTGTCAGGCTTTGTACCTAACCATCTTGGTATTTGTATTTTATTGATGTTTATTAGGTCTTGTTTCAATTTTATCCATTCTATATTAATGTTGTCTGGTATCTTGGCGTCCCAGGGGATATCTTGTTCCCATACTTGTTGAAATAGCAGTTTCAATTTTGTAGAGATGGGTGTAAGCCATCCGAGAGGGTCGAAAAGTTTAGATAAATCAGATAACAGTTTTCTCTTGGTATTGTTGATGTTATCTGTAGGGTTGTCTATCATTGATTGAAATATAAACATGTCTTGTTCTGGATCCCAACGGAGTCCGAGTGTTTTCGTTGAAGTCAAATGCTTGAAATCGTATTCATCTTGTTTGGTATCATTTTGCTTGTCTTGCAGTAAATCTTGATGGTTTGAGGTCCATTTTCGCAGATTGAAGCCTCCTTTTTTCAATAATTCGATCAATTCTTGTTTTATTTTTATGGCGTTTTCCAGTGAATGAGATCCTTGAAGTAAATCATCCATATAAAAACTTGTTTTTACAATTTCTGCCGCTTCAGGATAATTTTGTCTTTCGTCTTCTGCTAATTGTCTCAGGGTCATCATGGCGAGGAATGGAGCGGCCTTGGTTCCATATGTGACTGACGTCAACTCGTATTCCTCTATGGCTTGATTAGGGAAGTCACGCCATATTATTTTCTGGAATTTTAGATCGTCGGGGTGTATCCAGATTTGGCGAAACATTTTTTCTATGTCTGCCGTGAAAGCGATGTAATATTGGCGCCATTTCAAAATCAATGCAAAAAGGTCCTGTTGTAGGTTTGGTCCTTTATGCATGTAGTCGTTAAGGCTCTTCCCATTACTGGTATTTTGGGAGGCGTTGAATACCACACGTAGTGACGTCGTGGTCGATTCTCGAAGCACACAATGATGTGGTAAAAAATATTCAGGTGTCGTCTTACAGTTGGCCTTTTGCATGTGACCTAAATCTTGGTATTCATGCATAAACATCTTGTACTCGGTTTCTACTTTTGGATTCGCCTTGAATTTCCTTTCTAATTGGAGGAACTGTGCGATTGCTTTGTTTCTTGATTGACCTAATTCATGGATGTCCTTCTTGAGCGGGAGTCGCACTTGATACTTTCCATCATTCCTTCTTGTTGTGGTTGTTTTATAAAAATCTATACATTCTTGATCATCATTTGATTGAGAGGGTTCACTTGATATTTCTTCAATCTCCCAAAATCGTTGAATGTCCTCTATATTGTTAAGGACAACGTTGCACTGCAGTGTTGTCGTTGTTTTTCCGTATAAAATCCAACCAAGTTGGGTTCTTTGTGCTACGGGTTGTGTGTTATTAGGTTTTCTTATCTCTTCCATCAGGATGCTTGCGTAAATATCAGCGCCTAGTAGTATGTCAATAGGACGACTGATGAAAAACTCGGGATCGGCGAGTGATAACTTGTTTAGGTATTTCCAGTCTGGTTTCTTGAATGTGTAGTTTGGCAAATTATTAGTTAACTTGTTCATGATGAGTGCTTCCGTGGTGAATGCGAAGTTTTCAATCAAGGACGAGCAATGGATCGTGATTTTCCCTTTGCAGTTTGTGTCCTTGGTACCAACTCCAGTTATTACTCCTGAACATTTTTGTCGCGGCAATCTTAGTTGTTGTGCAGCGTTCTCTGTGATGATGGATATCTGTGATCCTGGATCGATGAGGGCTCTCATTTTCCGGGATACACCATCTACTCCTGCTACTTGTATTATGGCGGTTGCTAATAGTACTTCAGATGATTCTCCTTGTTGAGCGGTGTAAGTGTTTGTCGGTTGTGAGCTTGATCCTTGAATCCCGGTCCTGGTTATCGGGTTATTGAACTTGCGAAATGCTTCGTGTAAAAGTGTGTTGTGATTTCCGTCACATTCACGACAACGTGAGCTTGAAGTGCAGTTTTTTCCATAGTGACTGCATAGGCAATTTGCGCAGTAATTCAGTTTCGTAATCGCTTGTCGTTTTTGCATTGGGGTCATCTCTAAAAATTGTTTGCAGAAATAAATTCCATGTTCATTGCTGTTGCAAATTGCGCAACATAGTTTGTAGCGATTTGATTGTACTTGATGAAATGTAGCTTTGTTGCTTGTATTTTGAAGATATTTTCTTGTTTGATGATTGTATTCTTGCTTTTTTGAAGGTGTTGCTTGAAAATAATTTCTTACTTCTGACATCCCTGAACCCGACATCATAATTTTTACCTCTTTATTTTTTTCAAATCGCAAGGTTGAATATCTCTTAGTACCTATACCGATCTCGACCGTGATCAGTGACCATAAAGTCATCTGTCAACGGGTCGATTAGACACGATAAAAGCACTAAACGATATTTGTTTACTTTTAGTGCAACATCGGGTCGTAAGGACCTGATAAGTTTTTTTTTCCAAATATTTACTGTGTTTGACGAAGCAATTGCAAAACAATATTTATCTTTCGTACTACTGAAAAGACCGAATATATCCATCCCGCACCGACGCATCCAGCACCTAAGGTCAATTCGACCCGATAACGCAGTGTGAACGTGTTAAGTATGCTTTTTTAATTAAAAAAAATCTTTGAACATCAATTGCCTTTAAATAGTTTCCATCCTTTGACTACAACTTAATAAAAATAAGTACCATAACATAATTATTTTGAAGATTATTTGATATAGAGAAAAAATAATTTATACAAATCGAATTATTTAAAAAAGTATCACAATATTGAATATTTGGTGCTCATTTCTCTTATTTTTGAGGACCAACAAGTAACAATCAGATATAACTTTTACATCTCAATTTTTTTTTGCGTAGTTCAAAAGAGGTTAATATATCGATCGATTTCATTTATTTTATGTCTCAAAGAAAGAGGATCAATCATTAAAATAGATGACCATTTAGATTTTTTTATTTGCCGTTTTTGCTATTTTAAAAAGATCATTTAAATACATGCCCTTAATAAATAGCTTGTAAAGGTGATTGGTAATAGGGATTTACACTAAATAAGTACAACGACTATCAGTGAATATATACTATACTATTTTCAACCGACTTCAAAAAAGGAGGAGGTTCTCAATTCGACCCGTATGTTTTTTTTTCTCATTGAGACTCATCATCATCATCTCAGCCATAGGACCTCCACTGCTGAACATAGGCCTTCCCCAATGCTTTCCATGTTGCCCGGTAGATAGCGGCCTGCGTCCAACGCTTTCCTGCTACCTTTATGATGTCGTCTGTCCATCTTGTGGGTGGACGTCTCACGCTGCGTTTTCCAGTACGCGAGAGACTCAAATGTTTCAAAATCTTATATATTATTTTCACATTATGTTTTGACGTGTCTTGAAGATTAGGATTTAAAATTAATATTTAAATAATGTTTTTTGTTCATTTCGTCTAAACGTCGTCTTATGAAATGTAATCGTTTAAATTCTTAAGAGTTTAGCGCCCAGATTTTTCTACCCTTTCCCATAATACAATAGGTATTTCCACGATCTCTTTATAGATCATGGTACACGGGCAAATGCCATCTTTCTTTTATAACCAATCCAGTTTCCATCAGATCAAAGAAATGGGTCTCTCGTCAGACATCAGGCCTGCAGCCGACTGCAGATAAACTGGAGCAATCGGCTCCGACAAATAGCGATGTTGTGTCGCCGGCCGCGCGGTTACACGCTAAACGGGCCGCTTCTTTAGACTTCGAGCGCCCCTACTAAGTTCTAAAATCAAAATTGTCTTTATTATCTTTCTGGACTGCTTACATGTACTTACTTGCAAATTGTCAATTGCGCATATTAAAAAGCCTAAAGGCTACATGTCTGATTATTTTCAACCGACTTCAAAAAAAGGAGGAGGTTCTCAATTCGACCCGTATGTTTTTTTTTCTATGTTTGTTACGCGATAACTCCGCCAATTATGAACCGATTTGAACAAATCTTTTTTCAGCGTATAGGTAATACCTCAAGGGTGGTCCCATTTAAATTTAATAATAAAAAAAACAACCTCCAAGGGTGGAAAATTGGGGATAAACTTTTTTATACGCAATATCTCCACCGATTATAAACCAATTTGAACGATTATTTTTTTGTTGAATAGGTATTATCAAAAGGGTGGTTTCATGCGAATTTGAAGAAAATATTTCACCCTCAAGTGTGGAAAATTTGGGATGAACTTTTTTATACGCAATATCTCCGCCGAATATGAACCAATTTGAAAGATTATTTTTTTGTTGAATAGGTATTATCAAAATTTTATAAAAAAAAATAAAACCGACTCCATAAAACCTACACTAAAACGTAGAAAAATAATTACTAATTACCTACTTATTTATTAGGACGAATTATTAATATTTATGTAGGTATACCATGATTGATACTTCTGGAGTCGGTGCCAACATTATGAAACATGTAAAGTTTGAAAAAAAAAGAAATAAGTAAAATTTTATAAAAAAATAAAACCGACTCCAAAAAACCTACACTAAAAAGTAGAAAAATAATTACTAATTACCTACTTATTTATTAGGACGAATTATTAATATTTATGTAGGTATACCATGATTGATACTTTTGGAGTCGGTGCAGGCAAACTTTACATGTTTCAAAATCTTGGCACCGACTCCAGAAGTAGTCCAGTCATTTAAGCTTAAATTAGGTAAGAATCTCGGAATTAGAGATACCCAGCTGTAAGTCTGTAAATACTTGTATATTGTCACCCTAAAAGTTGTCTCAAAACCTACATATGGTAGGGTGTAAGCAACTATTAAATTTTAAGGTCAAAGGTCACAAAAATCGGTTTTTTGCGCTTTTTTTGGAAATATCTCATTTCCTATGGGTTTTTTGCTATTTGTATTTATTATCAATATTGTAGAATACTAAATTCTCTACAAATTTTGTTTAAAAACTTTTTTTATACGGTGAACCGTTTTCGAGATAGAGGGCGGAGAGCGCGCGGTCACTGCATCACTTCAGGTCTACTTAAGCGGTTTAGATTTTTCATACAAAAGGATTTTCCCGCTAATTCCTGTGGGAATTTCGGGAATTCCTTGTTGTAACTAAGCTTTGAGTTTACTAAGGTACCTACATGCCAAATTTCAAGCGTCTAACTTCCGTTAAGCGTTTAGATTTTTCATACAAAAGGATTTTCCCGCTAATTCCTGTTCCCGTGGGAATTCCTAAGTATACTATAACCTGCCCAGGTGTATGAAGAATAATTGTACCAAGTTTCGTTAAAATCCGTCGAGTAGTTTTTGTTTCTATAAGGAACATACAGACGGACAGAATTCTATACATGAAATATATTTTCAAAATAACTATCAGGGGGTGATTAGTGATCGATACTGATGCCAAAAATGCAATCAGTAAAATTTTTGTCTGTCTGTCTGTCCGTCTGTATGTTCCTTATAGAAACAAAAACTACTCGACGGATTTTAACGAAACTTGGTACAATTATTCTTCATACACCTGGGCAGGTTATAGTTTACTTAGGAATTCCCACGGGAACAGGAATTAGCGGGAAAATCCTTTTGTATGAAAAATCTAAACGCTTAATGGAAGTTAGACGCTTGAAATTTGGCATGTAGGTACCTTAGTAAACTCAAAGCTTAGTTACAACAAGGAATTCCCGAAATTCCCACAGGAATTAGCGGGAAAATCCTTTTGTATGAAAAATCTAAACCGCTTAAGTAGACCTAAAGTGATGCAGTGACCGCGCGCTCTCCGCCCTCTATCTCGAAAACGGTTCACGGTATAAAAAAAGTTTTTAAACAAAATTTGTAGAGAATTTAGTATTCTACAATATTGATAATTAATACAAATAGCAAAAAACCCACAGAAAATGAGATATTTCTAAAAAAAGCGCAAAAAACCGATTTTTGTGACCGTTGACCTTGAAATTTAATAGTTGCTTACACCCTACCATATGTAGGTTTTGAGACAACTTTTAGGGTGTCAATATACACGTATTTACAGACTTACAGCTGGGTATCTCGAATTCCGAGGTGAACTTACTATAATGACTGGACTAAAGTATCAATCATCATGGTATACCTAAATAAATATTAATAATTCGTCCTAATAAAAAAGTAGGTAATTAGTAATTATTTTTCTACTTTTAAGTGTAGCTTTTTTGGAGTCGGTTTTATTTTTTTTGCTCTACTATCGCTTCGAACGAGACAAATATGAAGTGCTGGGAAGAATCTTCTCGTCGCTGCAACAAACTCACTGTATCAATGAAGTTACAAAGTTTCTTTCTGAAAAAAAAATAGATAAGTAAATCATCCAGTCAGTGGTTTAACCGTCCCCTTGAATCACTTCAATCCTTTACGTCACTTTACTCGTACCTATTCCTAAATGATTACTAGTATGTAAATGCCCCGCTTTTGTACAAATTGAAACTTATGACATTAAAAAAATATAAGAAGAATAAGATAATAAGTTTAAGCAGTAATAGATGTCACATTAAATTAGTTTTACTGATAATTTATCTATAACTTACTAGAAAATGTGCTCGAGAAAACAGAGTTCGAGTAGCCTTTAACACTTTCGAGTTAACCCCGACATCCAGTGGTACAGTCTCAATCGTTTTCCCACTGGAACTTTTCAATCGGGCGATAAGAGGCTTGCGGGACGTCTTGCGATATTTATTTACCGCGGAGGAAACTTACTCGGTTTGCGGGTGATTTGTTCATAATTCAATTGTTCCATTCACTCTTAAATAAAACTAAGCGGCTTATTTCTGCGCGTTTGACTGTACTTTTTAATGCTTCCTCAAGGGTTTTATTTATTTAAGCCTATTGAAGGTAAAGGGAAATCAGAGATTTGAAAGCCTTTCGCGGAAAGAAAACAAAAGGCACTTTTTGAGGTTTTTTTAAGGCTCTGTTCTACGTAATGTAAAGTAGAGTAGGGCTTAAGATCAAAGGTATAGGAAGGTTTTTTTAGAAAATCTCATCTTTGGCTAAAATAGGTTGTTGTCTAACCATTAGATATAAAAATTATTTGGCATCGTTTG